ATAAACTGGTAATCCAATATGAGATTATTGGTTTGGAATCTCTTATATTTGACTAGTTGTTTAATCCCATGGACTTCTTAAAATCAGCTCCATGATTTAGGAAAAGAAGGGACTATTCATTTCTCCACTGGATCACATCTCTTTCTTGGTCAAATGTGACTTCGAAGGGCACTGATACACTTGGGTTGCCAAGTTGCACATCTGTGAGTCCTAAGATGACCCTGAACACCTATATCATGGCACAGCTCTGGGGCAAGAGGTAAATTAGGCAATTCTTGAGCCTAGAGAAAGAGCTGTCAACTTATATCAGTCTTTGGATGGTTTTAATTTTATTCTTATAATTTAACTATTACAGATTAGTCATGGTACCAGTGCTGAATAGGAAGACAGAGAAGACAAGATTTGAAGTGATGCTTCAGAGGTTTCCTTACTCCACCATTTTGTTCAGAAGCAGAGGAAGGAGGGGATTTCTTAAGACTGCTAAAGAGTCAGTCCAAAGACTCTAAATATTCTATCTCCATCAGCAAACTTATTTAGGGATGTGTGCAGAAGAGGAAGAGAAATGTCTCTGGGAACTTCTCAGAGACACAGTGCACCAAAACCCTCCTGTCAAGGATTTGTCTTCATTTATTCAGCTTTCCGTTGGTGGACTGGTGGTTACTTTACAACCATGTTTTCTTCCCTTCTTAATGACTCATGGCAATTATTGTAGGTTCTGTGTTTTGTTTTCAAAAGTATATTTTTTTAACTAAAAACTAAAAAACAAACATATATAACTTTTGAAACACCCCGTTCTCTTTCAAGTGTCTGGTACTTGGACTTGTATTTCAGAACTTCAAGTACATTGTTTCTGCTTTGGATTGCAACAGCCTGCTTTACAGTTTAGAATTTCATTCTTTGTTCTTTCCTTATCCTCACTACCCTGAAGGTGATTCATGAGGAATGCTTTTGAATGGACTGGGAGAATGGGAATAAAATGAATGAAAACAAATGTTTAATTTAAAAAGTGTCCCCAGTGCACTGCTTTGGTAGGCTAAAGATAGGCTGATGTCTCCTACTGATGCATAAGAAAGAGGAAACAGTGGTAGATATCATAGCCCAACAGAGAATACTGGGATTGAACTTTGAATACCTTGTGTTCCTTCCTTCAGTCTATTTCATTCAATGTGAAGGAGAAGTGAAGAGTTACTTTTCTAGCATAGGGAATTTCCACTCATGGGTGTGGCTCACTGCCAAAAACTAACCTAAGCTACCTCTGAACACACAACTGCACTGACATATATTTTCCCCTCTTTAATATTTTCTAAAATCTTTATTTGCTGATCTAAAAGTTAAGTTCAGTGAAAGAGTCATCAATTGAATAAATGTTAACATTTTTGCTAAATTTCAAACTTGAATCAGATTTTCAGGGACTGTCTTGCTTCCTTTGGTAAGATGCCTGATGCTTATCACCTTTTTTGTCTTCTTGGGTCTTTGGTTTTGTTAATGTAGTATTATTCATCTTTAATTGTTTATCTATTTAATTATATGAAGAGCAACAAGTTTGAGAAGAGAGACTTAAACTTAGTAAAACAGATAAAGACAGTGTTCAACACTAATCAGTGCCTGAGAAAGTTTGCAGGAAGATAAAGTCTCTGAAGAATGCAATAATCAAGGTAATGTAGAGGGGGAGCAAGCAGGCTGCTTCTCCTAACTAAAATTTTTAGGTGGTGATCTGAACGGAGTGACCCTGATTGTAAAGTAAAAGAATGTACTCATAAAACATCTGAGGAAATGAATCTGTGTGGTGGCATATGTTATGGTTTAGATATGAGATGTCTCCCAAAAGATCATGTGTGAAATAATGCAAGAAAGTTTAGAGGTGAACCAATCGATTATGCGAGCCTTAACCTAATCAGGGCACTTATCCACTTGAATGGATTAACTGAGTGGTAATTATGGGAAAGTAGGGTATGAGTGGAAGAGGTGGGGCACTGGGGATGTGCCTGTGGGGTATATATTTTGTCCCTGGTGAGCAAACTTCTCTCTGCTTCCTGATGCCATATACTAAGCTGCTTTCCTCCTCCACACCCTTCTGTTATGATGTTCTGCCTAACCTCAGGTCCCTGAGCAATGGAATCAGCCATCAATGGACTGAGACCTCTGAAACTGTGAGCAAAATAAACTTTTCCTCTGCTAAGATTGTTCTTGTCAGGTGTTTTGGTCACAATGGCAAAAAAAAGCTGACTGAAACAGCATACAACTTCTTCCATATATTCTCCTTGATCATGGAGGTGGCCCTCCATGTATCCTAGCTCATCTCTTCCAAGGAGTGTGTAAGTAATAGAATACAGAAAACCATTCTGTTGAGTCTTCCCATTTCTTTCTTTGGGATCACTAAATGAAATGCTTGGGGACTTTGCAGCCATGGGGTTGAACAGATGGAAGCCTCAGAAATATAAGGAGTTTGAATAAGGCAAAGACAGAGAGTTGCTATGCCACTAAAATTAAACTCCTAGTGATTCTTACTTTGGGCTGGAGAACTTAGAGGAGAAGTAGAAGAAAGCCTACCTGTTTCAGTCAGGTTTGGGGCTGCTATGACCAAAATACCCTACCAGAACAACTTAGAGGAACAAAATGTTATTTTGGCTCATGGTATGGGAGGTCTCAGTCCACAGACTGTTAACTCCATTGTTTTAAGCCCAAATGTCTGGAAATTAGTGTCTTATATGCTCAGCTATGACCCATTCTCTTCCTTTACAGACCTGATTGAAGACATTACCCATTTTGCCTCCTGATGATACTTGATCAGAATATTTTCCAATTTTCTCCTATTGGTTACTTTAGAAAGCTTAATTAGCAAACTGCCCATTTTACCCCTAATCATCATTTTAAAATACTGAGCCTGTGGAGGAAGTGATCATGGTGGTAAGTCCTCAGTGTCGGGAGTTTTCATGGTAATGGATTTATTGTAAACAGGGACAGGATATGTCCCCTCGTCTTGCCCTCCAGAGACTTCTTTCTAATACCCTGTCTCTGCCATCTTGGTGTCCCTGAACTCCTACTAACAGTAGCTCTAGCTCTAGGTTTTCAGATGGAAGACTTAGGCAAAGACAGAAAAAGAAAAAGAAAGGAAAATTGGACACTACCTCCTTACTAGAAAAGTCAGTGATGCTCTGTTGGAGGGCTTTCTGTGGCTGCATGAAATGTTTGCCAGCTTGGAAGTACCAGAGAGCGAATGCCCTTGCACCAGCCCTCAGGCAAAGGAGATGGAAGTTGTTGAATAGATAAGGCAGCTCCTTCACCCTGGACCACTCCACTTTCTCTCCCAGAGATGCCCCTGTGGATAGAACCTCAGCTGCCAAAGCTTTCCCTGTCTCCTAACTCCTTCCTGGTATCAGATCTCAAATTATTGTCCACTAATCATTGTGAAAGGGAGGAAAGGTCTGCTTCTGAGAAAACAAGCTAAGATAATTTAAAAGTTCAATGCATTTATATCAAAAGTGATTACTGAAAAGCTTGAATTTATTTCTGCCATCCTTTTTCTGAATTTTACATTTGTCCCATTGATATTTTTTCTTCGTTTATTCATTCCTTTTCTTTTCTTCCCTTATGTGAATTATATTATATTTTTCTTCTCACATTACCCATTCCTTTTTCTTTGCATTATTTGAGAAGTGATCTTCCCTATATTCTTCTCTTAGCTACTCCGATAATTTTTTTTTCTGAATATGGCACCAAGTTAACACTTGAAGTCATGTTTCTCAAACCAGAGTCTGTGTGAATTCAGAAGCACTGAACTGTGGGAGGTGGTGACAAACACGGCATAGGAAGAATATCACTTCTATCCAATCATACATTATTTTGATCATTATTTTACGTGAATCATGAAAATATGAAAGTGTATTTTAAAACTGTCGAGTGCAATATCTGTCACTTCACAGATACTGCATTCTTCTGAGAGCAGCTTAAGCTAAATCTCAAACTTACTCAGGTTGCACTATTGTCTGGCAATCAGGCTTTTAAACAGTGCTTGTGAAGTTTTAAGTTGATCAGTCTGTTGAGGTGAGGTCACAGTAAAGTAGTTAGCATCTACATTAGTCAGCCTTGTGTCACTGTGACAAAATATCTGGAAAAAAATAATTCAGGAGAAGAAAGATTTATTTTGGCTTAAGGTTTCAGAGGTTTGAATAAAAGATTACTTGGCTCTCCTGTTTCTGGGCCTGTAGTGAGAAAGAACATTATGGCTTGGAAAAGTGTGGCAGAGCAAAACTGCTCATGGCAATCATGAGGGCATGCCCTTGAGGACCCACTCCTTTCAATGAGGTTCCATCTCCTACCGTTTTCACAACTTCCCAATAATGCCATCAAGTTATATATTTATCACTGGATTAATTCATTGATGAGCTTAGAGTAAATAACTTCCCCAACCTCCTACCTCTGGATATTGTTGCACTGGGGACCAAGTCTTGAATGCATGAGCCTTTGTGGGACATTCCAGATCCAAACCATAGCAACACCATTCCTATTTCAGTGACATAACACAATTCAGCTTTTACAAAAAAGTATATTTCTTGAGGTCCAGTTAATTGTCCAAAGCATATATCCTTAGTGGGATATATGTGTCACCTCCATCTAAACCTAGGCTTTCCCAGTTGCTGCCACAGGAACAAAGAAATCTTGTACTACAAAATACATCCCCAGTCTTTTAGCACATGCATAACTTTCTTTCATATCCCATAGTCTTGACACACTCAGATGACCCTGTGTAACTACAGAGGGTAAGATGTTACCATTATCATATGTCTGCAAATACAGAAGATCTGCTAGCCAACCAGCGCCTCTCTACCAGTTTTCAAGGAAAATTACTTCTCCCAACAATATAAGCGAATAACAATAATAGCAAATATTGCTAGTGTAACTATTTGTCTTAAAACCGTTATGTTTACCCATTTTCTGTTAATAATGCAATGCCATACTGGGTAAATTCTAATGAAAAAAAAATTTAATTTGGTTCACAGTTCTGTTCCAAGGTCAAGAGGCTGTAACTGATGATGCCCATGTTGCTGGCAGTCTCTGGAGGTGGTGCAGAGTATTAGAGGTGAGAGACATGAGGTGTACATATGTATGCACCTCCTTTTCTTTATAAAGCCACTTATAAGGAAATCAGATGCCCTAGTCATTCTGCAAGGCCTGCCTCTGAATACCATAATCAGATGGTTTCCCCCTTCTAATACAGCAAAATAGTTGTTAAACTTCAAAACAGGCACCTTTAGTGGACACATTCAAACCGAACCCAAACCAGAGCACCTGTACAAGGTATTTAAATAGTGCATAAGTCTAAGTCTTCCTCAATTTATGACATTATTTATTAGATGCATTCCCTCATGCCCAAAATTGCTTCTAATGCAGAACAATTTATAAACCACTTGGACCAATATTCAACTATTTGTGGCATTGTCTGACCTTTTAAAATGTCCCAATTTTACTGAAATAATATTTTAATTTTTCTTACTGTGTAGATATAGTATTCATTCATTTTTCAATCATTCCCTTTATCTTCACAGTATTTTCTCAGTAACCACTCTTAAATATTTCTATTTTGAGATACTCAGCACTAATAATCATATACATAAATGTGAGTGTTAGACTTTTACAGTGAAAATAAATATATTTTTGTAAATCTTTTTTATAGCATCGCTATACATCAGTGACAGTTTATGTTTGAGTCAGCATTTTATGTATAAACTTGCTTATTATTTTTCTCTGTTATTTCTTTGATATATGATTTCTAACATTCTAACATACTGGTGTGACACATAAACATATCATGGAAATGATCAATACAGTAATATATAGCTTCTAATGTGTATTGGATGGTGACTGCTATGGTTTTCTTGGCCCTAAAACTCACGCTGAAATCTAATCCCTATTGTGAGGCAGTAAGTGGTGGGACTTGGTGGAATATTTAATAACTGATTAGTCCTGAGGGCTCTGGTCTCATGAATGGATTAATTCACTTATTAATAGACTAGTGAGTTGATGGGTTATCTACAAAGTCGGTCTGTTATAAAACAGAGTTTGATTCTGTCTCCTGTGCACCTCTCTTTCAGGTATACACCCTGTTGTTAGAGTCTGTAAACAAGTCAAGATGGCGCCAGGCATTTTGCCAGAGGGAGTGGTTTGAGAAGTAATGCCAGCAAGCCATTAAGTGTGGAGATTCCTTATTGGTTGACTGCTATATCTAGTTTATGTTAATTAAGATAAACTGTGTATTCAGTAATGTATATATACCCCTTCTGTCCTACAATAAACGGCTCCACTCCTGCTGTATCAATCTACACAAGTTCCTTGTCACCACCCCCCTACCCCCGGTTAGTTTGCCCAGCCAGCAGGGCTATGGCACCCTGGAACTCTGCAGAGAGTCTCTATCAGTAAGAAGGCCCTCACCAGAGGCACAGCCCAACTGTGGACCTCCCACATCCCACAACCACAAGCTAACATACATTGTTGCTATATGTGAATTACCCAGTCTGTGGTTTTTCAGTTATATTAAGAAGAAATGGTCAGAGACTGTATTAGTAGAAAAAAAGACTGTCACAATAATATTTCACAATTCTAATATATCAGATAATATTAAAAGTGTAAACAAACTTCCTTCCCTAGATTAAAAAAAGTTACCCAAGATATTAAAATTTAAATATTGAATTATAAATGTACATATTAAAAGAGTATAGAATTTTAAAGTTTGAATGAGAATTCATTATAAAATTCACAATGCACATTTTGTTTGCCAATTCTTTCAGGATTTTATGTTAACCTATTAAATCATGTGTTTTGATTAAAATATACTTTGCTTCCTCCTAGTTACAAAATAGTATCCTAGAATGAAATGCACATATTTAAAAAATTTTGGCCTTGTTAAAAAATTGATTTGTTGGTTTGTCCTCATTTCTCATATTTTTAGTACTATCCAATCACAATATATATCTTACAGACATAAAACAAAGGTCTGATAATTCCAATGAGAGAAATTTTAGAAAAGAATATAAATATATATAACATTTGTGTCCCAATGTGAAAAAAATGGAATAAATTAAAAAGTCTACTTACAGAGATATCACTACATATACCAGGTTGCAAGATGGATCCATAATAAAATATTATGTCACCCATAATAAAATATTGCATCAACAAATAATATGTTTGAAACTGTAGTTTAGCAGTCTTCTGGCATACTTCATCAAAATAGAAATTTCATATAAGTTTTAAAACACTATACTATTACACAGAAATGGCACAGTATAAAAATGAAAAATATATAGTCAAATGTATGAAAGATGATATATCATGAGCTCTGTAATGTTTTGAACAATCATTAAAAAAAAAGAGTGAAGGACTAATGAATACTTTTCACCTTTCATGTTTTCTAATATGGACTATTTTAATGTCCTTTAAGGGGCTTACATATACTAAGTAATGGATCATTTTAAATATTTTTGAATTTTGTAGATTTAAAAAAATTATATTTCCCAGTAAGTGAGTTTTGTTATCTAGTCAAGAATATAAAAGTATAAGGTTACTTCGATAATCTCTCTTTTTAAAATTGCAGGTTGAAAAATTATACTTGTATATACCTATGGGGTACAAAAATGATGCCATGCATTATGAATATAATATGGAATAATTAAAGCAAGCTAATGAGCCTATCAATCATTTCAAATACATATCAATTGTTGTAATGAGAACACTTAAAATTTACTCCCAGTGTTGGAATGTACAATACACTATTATTAACTATTAACTGTTATGTGACAGACTTCCAAAAAGAGAAAAAATATCCCTTTTTTCTAAGTAAGGCTTCATACTCTGTATGTCCCACCCCTCAGCCCCTGGAAGCCACCATTCTCCTCTCTGCTCTTGAGTTCTATGGTTTTACATTCCACATATAAATGAGACAATCTGTGGTATTTGTCTTTCTGTGCTTGGCTTATTTCACTTGGCATAATGAGCTCCAATCCCATTCATGTTGTCAAAAATGACAGAATTTCTCCTTTAAGGCTAAATAGTATTTTATTGTGTATACATAGCACATTTTCTTTATCTCTTCTTCTGTTGATAGACATGTAGTTGAATTGTATAAGTTAGATACTGTGGATAGTGCTTCAATGAACATGGGAGTGCAGACATCTGATCATCTCTTAATTGTATCTGCTATTGTTAGTGGAAGAAAGGGGTCAGTTAGTCAAAGGTAAAAGTCAACGTGACTTCTTCTTATAAACAATAATCACCAAAAAATGTGTCCCAAAAATGTATAAAAAACAAAATGACAGTACTAAGGGAAGAAATAGACAATTGAAAACAATAGTAGTCAGAGAAGACAGGAAATTACTCTCAATAATGGGTAGTACAATCAGCTCACAAATCCAGAGAATGTAGCAGACTGAGACCATACTGTCAGTCAAATTGATCTAATTATATTTATAGAATACTTTACCTAACATTAACAGAATACAAATTCTTTGCAAGCACACATAGAATATTCTCCAGGATAGACAATACCCTACCTCATAAAACAAGTTTCAATAACTATAAAAAGGATTGAAATCATACAAAATAAGTTTTTCTGACCACAATGAAAGTAAATTAGAAATTAATGACAGAAAGAAAATTTAAAAGTTTGTGAATAGTAGAAATCAAATAACACATTTCTAAATAAACCACAGAGCAGAAAAATAAATCTCAAAGGAAAATTTTAAAAAACGTTTTTAACTGAATGAAGACAGCACCTACCAAAACTTATGGGGTATACCTAAGGCAGCTTAGATGGAAAAAAGTATATCCTTAAATGCTTATATTAGAAAAGAAAATCTCAAGTCAATAACACAAACTTTCATCAAAAAAAAAAAGACAAATTAGAGCCAATTAAATAAAATAGAATGTAGGAGAGAAAACTTTGATAAATCAGGCTTTATCAAAATTAAAAATGTTTTTGCACTAAAGATATCATTAAAGTGAAGATGTGGGTCATATGTTTTAAAAAGGGCTTTATTCAGAATATATAAAAAATACATATATCACTGAAGAATATGTATGAATGGCCATAATCACATGAGAAGATATTCAATATAATTAGTCATTAAGAAAATGCAAGTAAAATCATACTGAGATATTACTTTATATGCATTGGAATGGGCATAGTTAAAAAGATTGACAATAACAAGCACTGGGAAAGATATGGAATAAATGGAAAATTTATGTGTTGTTATTGGGGATATTTATATGTGGTATAGCACTTTGGAACAGTTTTTGGTTCTTAAAGTGTTCAACACGAATACATCACATAGCCCACAATTTAACTATTCAGTATCAGTTCAAAACTAATGAAAATATATGTTTAATGTAAAGATGTGTATATGAATGTTCAAAACAGTTTATTCATAATAGACCAAAAATGTAAAAACAAATACAAATGTCCTTCAACTAGTAAATGAATAAACACAATGTGCTCTATCCATACAAAGAAATATTATTCAAAAATAAAAATTAGTCATATATGTTATAACCTGAATGAATCCCAAAACCAAAAAGTAAATGAAGCCAGATGTAAAAGACCACAGGTTGATTGATTTTGTTTATACTAAAAGTTTAGAAAAAGTAAATCAATAGAGACAGAAAATAGATTAACACTTGTGGGGAAGGGCATGGATTGAGTGCAAATGGGCATGAGAAATATTTTTGGAGTAATAAATGTTCTTAAAGCTATATGGTGCTAATAATGGCACAACACTGTAGATTTTTAAAAATCTGTGAACTACATATTTAAAATGACAAATTTTATAGTATCAAGTAAAAAAAAAAAAAAAAAAAAAAAACCAGACCAGTATAGCTTTTCTCTGGCACAACTTGTCATTGAACATACTATGGTGAAGCTACAGAACAATTGATGAGGAGAACCTGAATGACAACAACAACAATGAGAAAAAGCCATTTCCACATTGGAAAAATAAAAAATTCAAAAACAAACAAAAGAACAAAAAAATTAATATATCAGAGTTCCTAACCTATTAATTATACTGCTTTTCTGTTCAAAAATTCATATTAAATTCTTTTGGCCCAAGTAATAAACTTGGGTTTTTTTTTTTAGATCACTTCCATAATCTTGATGTTATACACATTAGGCAAAATATATATACATTAGGCAAAATATACATTAAAACAAAATATATCCAATTTCTTTTCCAAAACAAAGTTCTTCCTTTAGATACGACATACTTCTCATTGCCTGTATTTCTCGTTTCTCTCAATCTGGAATAACAAACCTTTTACTCCAGTAATGAAAACCAAACTCTTTCTTTAAGAATCAGTTTGGTTCCATTTTGTTTCTGCTGGAGCATTCTATCAACTATTGCAGCATACTTTGATATTGTTTCAGTCAGCTTTTTCATTGCTTGACCAAAAGAGCTGATGACAACAATTAAATAAGAAAAAGTTTATTATGAGTTTACAGTTTCAGAGGTTTCAATCTATAGACAGCTGTGACAATTTTCCCGGGCCCAAAATAAGGCAGAATATCATGGTGAACGAGTGTGACAGAGGAAAGTAGCTCAGGATATTGCACTAGAAGGCAGAGAGAAAGAGATGCTTCTTCACTCAATGGACACAAAATATATATCTCAAAGTCACACCCCTGGTGCCACACCTTCTCCAGCCAAACCCTACCTACCCACAGTTACCATCCATTTGGGCCCAGTTAATCCATTCAAGAGGATTATTAATGCACTGATTAAGTTAAAGCCCTCATAACCCAATTATATCACCTCTGAAATTTCTTGCATTGTCTTACACATGAGCTTTTGCAGGACATGTCATATCTTAACCATAAAGACATATCTTCCCACAGAAATAAGTTTTAATAAAATTTCCAAAATCCAAAATCAAAATGTATCATTCTGACAAGAGTACACAGTCTGGATTTTAACGAATTTTTGAAACGTTTACAAATTAAGATACATAAATATAGTTTACTATTTGTATAACTATGCTTTTAAAGAAGAACAAAACTATATGTGTGTGTGTGTGTGTGTGTATACACACACATACACACATATTATATTTTATTTATTTATTTATTTATTTATTTTTGTTCTGGGG